TGTTAATCTTATGTTACACACACACACACACACACACACACATATGTATATATATATATATATATATATATATATATATATATATATATATATATATATACATATATATGGAGGGTGGCATAGCTCAGTGGTAGAGCGCTGGCTTTGCAATCGCAAGGTCCTGGGTTCGCGCCCGGCCGCTGCCCCTCTCAGTCGACTCAGCTGTGAATGAGTACTGATATGCTGACGTCAGCATGTAGGGGTCAAGGTCGGGGCGGAAAGGAACTGGCCACCCTACCACATCATCCCGCGGCTTAGTAAGCATGTTTCTCTGCGAACATGTCCCCTACGTTCACGTGGACATGGGACTAACTTTGACTTTGATATATAAATGTATATATATATGTATATATAAATGTATATATATATATATGTATGTGTATATATATAGACATATAAATATACATATATGTACATGTGTATATATATATATATATATATATATATATATATATATATATATATATATATATATATATATATACATATATATATATATACACACACACACAGACACACACACACACACACTCAGACAACACACACACACACACACACACACACACACACACACACACACACACACACACACACACACACACATATATATATATATATATATATATATATATAGTAAATATATATATATATATATGTGTGTGTGTATGTATATATATGTGTGCGTGTATGTGTATGTGTGTGTGTGTGTTTGTGTTCACTTGACGCCAAAGAGTTAACGAAACAGAAGTAGAGCGGGGAATTATTCCATCACCTTTGTTAATCCTTTCACTCCAAGCATATTGCGTCTTTATGAAATATTGGCGCGGACCAAAGTTCACGGGGTAAAATGCCCGGGTAGTGAAAACAAGCGAGGTAGACATGCCCGGATCCCCCCACCCCTCCTTCCTCCCACAACTTGGCATTACATAATTATTAAGTTTTCTAAATGTTAGTTATCAAGGTGATTTGTCTGCCTGTCGACCCGTCTCCTGCAACTCTCAAGGGCCTTCGATGGGTGCTGCCATTGGGTTTCGATTCGTGCATCATAATTTGCATCGGCTTAACCCTTCCCCAGATAGAACTCTCTCAGCCCGTTTTATTTCCTCTTTCCTAATCAGATAATGCGTGGTGTTCCTCTGCTCGGTAATAACCATAACCACGTCTTTGTAATGCTGATTGACAGGCCCTTCTCTGGCTCTCCATGGCTGTATCAAGTAACCTTTGTAGTTGAACACTTTATGAACTACAGGGTGATAATAATGAAATTAGTTATCATGCATACGTATATGTACATACTCAGGATTATCATTTAGCCACAAGAAATGCAATAATCATCTCTATAAAGCTTAAGATCAAGGCCACAGAGATCCCTATATCACCTTCACCTGAATAAACTTTCGATAAACAACGATGATAAATTTCCGCCTCACGTCCTCCTGAAGCCACGAGAATAGCATTAGACTTTAAACCCTTTCATTCTGCCTTAATACATAGGACCTGAAATGAAGAATCCCAAGTGCATTCATCTTAACAACTGCTTCCCGCTGCCACCTGACACGGTCTCCGCACAGTACTGTCATACATTCAAATATTTATATGATGGTATTATACACAACACCAAGAGACATTCCATTGATCAGATGTCACACAATATTATGATGTATGCACGTAAGCAACGTGGCACTCACTCGCGAATATGCATATCTGATACAGCAGCATCTGAGCATTCCCGAAGGACAGCGCACGTTTATGAAATAATAGCTCGTGCGTTGCGCCACAGCAACACGTGTGGCTCATTTTGCAAGAGAATGCCAAAATAATGATGAATGCAGGCCATCGGTAAACATCACTTTCATATATATTTCAGTTTTTTATTTTGCTTGAAAATCTCCTCGCCCTGCTGTGATTCTGGAATCATCCACAGTGCCGTGCAAAATGACCGTGATGCAGCACCTTTAATATGCAAATATCTTTCTGTATAAACGATTATAAAGTCTGTGATATACACCTTCTTGGCGAATGAACACATAATTGCAAGATCACGTATGATGATCAACATGAAAAGAGAAGGACACATTTTTAGTCAAGGAAAACTAATAATAATTTGTTAGATATGTGTTTGTGGTGTTCATACCTCATTATTTATATACTGATTGCAGTATATTGAAAAATTACAACCGTTTAAATATCCATTTATAAATTATTATTATATATACTTTTTCATTTTTAGTATCATATTTCATTTCTCCGTTTCTTTTTTGGGCATGCAGATGTTAGCGAATTAAAAGGAGTTGTAAAATAGGGTTGCGATGACTAAGGATTTCTTTCGTCGCTCACTCACGTCACTTGCGAAATGACTGTCTTCTTAATTTGCTCGCGGATGATCTTATTCGCATCACTTAACTCTAAATGTTTCAATTCTTCTTGTGCTTACAGTGCGGGATTTTTTCATCGTATTCTAGAATATTCCTCTCCATGTCTTTTGTTAACAGATAGTAGACGTAAATATGACAGATTCCAGTGACTCTCGTTGTCTTGCTGACTCATAAGATGACGTGCTTTATAGTCCTAAATGATGTGGCTTCCATTAAGTGATAAATTTCTTGATACAACGGATATGGGATGTTCTGTCACACCATGTACCTTTTGTCCTTCTCTGTAAAATTGTTTGTCGTCCACTGAACGCAATCAATTTACTAAATCAAATAAAATTCCTCGATATATATATACATATATATATATATATATATATATATATATATATATATATATATATACATATATATATATATATATATATATATATATATATATATATATATATATATACACACACACACACACACACACACACACACACACACATATATATATATATATATATATATATATATATATATATATATATATATATATATATATATATATTTGTGTGTGTGTGTATGTATGTATGTATTTGTGTGTGTGTGGGTTTGTGTGTGAGTGTGTGTGTGTGTGTGTGCCTGTGTGTGTGTGTGTGTGTTTGTATGCTTGTGTGAGTGTGGGTGTACGTGTGCGTGTGTTAGTGTGTATATGTATTTCATAGATGGGCCAAAAAGACCTGGAAGACAGACAGTCAGACAAAAGAAAGTCTTATATCTTAGGCTGACCCATTTTAGTCCATTGTTATTACGTATGGGTTTACATAACACTTTCACTGTAAATAAATGCTAAATCAAGATTCTTTGTTATTGTCATATTCTTTTCGGTTTATTTTACTTACAGGTATGTAATGCTTCCACTGTTGTATTCCCAAAGTAAATCCTAGAATTACACAAATACCATTATTCAGGTCAGTTTACATGTTCATTTATTCATTCATTTATTTTTTCTCCTGGAATATCGACGCACGATATCGTATTAAATCAGCTGTAATCTGGGTCGGAATACATAACAGTCTCCTATCTGATTTAACTTCAATGTTCAACACCAAACTGCATTAAATGTTTAATCCCTGGGCGAATTTTGGAATGTTAACAGCAGACATGTTGGGCTGAAATGCTTCATATAACTTCCAGGCCCCTTGGGTCTGCTTCATATGTTCCGTCTCTTAACCAGACCAGTGGGTCCCAACCTTTTCTATTCTGTGGTCCCCGACCAATATATAAAAATCTCTGTTGCCTGTCAACTTTTCAGATTCAGTTATTACTAGTTATGAATAGTGTAATGATGTAAATGGTTATAGGACAAAAACACTATATGGAAAGATTTCAATTTATTGATATTTAGGAGATAAATATCTGTAGGTACTGCAAGCAAGACAAAATTCAGTTTAATTAGTCATAATTTCCATATTGGTCCATGGCCCCCAGAAGGCATCCCATGGCCCCTAGGTTAGGAACCCATATCTTAGACTAGTCTTAGATATTCATAAACTTTGAAAATAGTACCTTGACACTTTTTGTAAATATGGAATTTTATTTCATTTTCTCAGTGATGTGTACTTTATATTTGGACCCCAGCTGGTCCAGGGCATTTTTAACACATAAAACCAGAAAATCCTTAAAAATGGGCCTGAACTGTTGTTACTGAAATAAATAGTATTTACTGTACATCCACAGACATTACAAGATAACGTGTCTTGAAAATATAATCAAGGATAAGCAAATAAAAAGATGTTATGATAAACTATAGATGCAGAGTACTTCATTCTTTATCCTGGGAACCAATGGACTTAAGGCGTTTTCCCTGAAACCCTAATCAACTTGGACCTTCCTTATGCCCTTACACTACACATGGAATAATGGCATTTAGACCGTGAGATAAAACAATCAAGAAACATTTTAACAATAACGCTTCCTACACCTACGCAGACTTCGATAGTGCTTGTCATCCCCGCCTTTGTTGTTTTCAGAGGCCTTCTCCCGGTGCCCTTTTAAGCGTGGCACTTTACCAGACACCCCCTGGTATCTTCACCATTACCTCCCCCCTTTAAAACCCAGCAGGAGAGTCGTCGAGCCCCAAAGAAAGCCTCTTTCCCCCGCGGGAGACGAGTGGGGGTTGGCAGAGGGCGCCCGGGCCAGGGATCCGGTTCCTCTCCAGAGGTGACACTTCGCCGGGACGTCCCCTGGCACCTTCGTCGTCAGCTGCCCCCTTTAAAGGCCAGCAGGGAGGCCCCTGAGCCCCGGGGACGAGGCTCTTCCCCTGCGGGCGGCGCGCGGGGATTCGAAGCGGGCGCGCGGCGAGGGCCCGCCCCCCCCGCCGCCGCCGCCGCCCTCGCGTCCGCCCGAGGAACCTTCAAAGTAAATAGTCAATATGTGGAGCCTGCTGGGGCTATCACGATGACCCGTCGTATCCGTGCTTCCCGATACCCATGGTAGTGTTTGAGATCGCTGTCGTTCTCATGGCCCCCTGACCATGTGGAAGCCAACCAAGAACCAGAAATTCGGCGTAGGTGAGTAGAGGGCGGGGGACGCGGCGGGCCGAGGCTGCAGCTCCATTTTCAGGCCTTGACGGGCGTCCTGCCACAGGGGCGCCAGGCCCTGTGGCAGGCGTCTGGGGGCGCCCTCGCTGCCGCTGGGGGCTCGTGGTCATGCAGAAGAGGGAAATAGGGGGGCTGCTGTAATTAGTTTCGGCCTTAATGAACTGCGGGGC